TATATTTAGGTGGGTGGACTGGACTGAACTGGCACGATCAGCAGGCAGACCCTTTCACGGATCCTGGAGAGGAGGGAGGAGCAGCTATGGCATTGTGCCGCCTGCAATGATGTCTATTCTCCAACCAAATAAGTAATCTAACTGGGTCGATGAACGGACTCAAAAGAATCGATCGTCAAGTGATGAACTTTCACAAACATAATATATATACTAGCTTAGTACCCGTTCGATGAACGGACTCAAAAGAATCGTTCATGAAGTCATTGTGGAAACAGTGCGCTCTGCTTGTGAACGGAAACCTCACGGTTTACAATGGCGTCTTAGAAGACAGACTTTCCCAAGAATAGATCTAAACGAAACTAATGAAAAACTGAAAATTAAACTACAGTGACTTCAGACTCCTTAATATAACTATGCACCCTTTAAATTATCATTTTCAACGATTATATTTTTCAAATTGGAAAGTTAAGTGGTTCGGAAGTTTTAGGCGGCCCAAGTGACAAACTTTCTCAAATATAAGATAAGATTGAGATAAAGAGATAATTTGATTGAAAAGGAACGTTTTACGCCTACTTTAACAATAACCTATGATTGATTGAAAAGGAACGTTTTAAGTCTACTTTAACAATAACCTATGATTAATTGAAAAGGAACGTTTTACGCCTACTTTAACATAATTTAGATTCCACAGGAGAGACTTCTGTCTGATATAACAGGCCTCTACAAGAAGTTGAGAGGGCCACATCAGTAGTGGTAGGACTGGTCTACGTGATAGTGAGATGGATGCTCTCCCTGTCTGTCTGTCGGTCTGTCTGCCTGTCTGTCTGTCTGTCTGTCTGTCTGTCTGTCTGTCTGTCTGTCTGTCTGTCTGTCTGTCTGTCTGTCTGTCTGTCTCGCCCTCTCTCTCCTTCTCTCTCCCCCTCTCTCTTTCATCTTTAGTCTCTCTCCTCTACCCCCCCTCTCTGTCTTTCTCTCTCTCTCTCTCTCTCTCTCTCTCTCTCTCTCTCTCTCTCTCTCTCTCTCTCTCTCTCTCTCTCTCTCCTCTACCTCCACCCCTCCTCCTCTCTCTCAGTATGTCTCTCTTCTCTTTCGTATTTGTGATCTGTCTGTCTGTCGGTCTGTCTTTGCTTCAGTTTAGTAAGAATTTTACATCGCTCGCAACTACATAATATGGTCATATGAGCGCGCGAAACACAAATTGGTTGCATTTTTTTGGCATTCACAGCAGTTCTGAGCACGGCCTTATTTCTCTGTATGGTAAGGTTAAACATGTCATGATATTAATCCAGTTTTTAAAAGGATTCAAAGATAAAACCAGAAATGTTACATTTTAAAACAACAATTAAACTATTATTTTAACGTTAAAGCCAATGGTCTTTATAAAATCTAGAATTCGGTTGGGATCAACGACGGAGAACAGATCTTTTAATTTTGTGTATTTAATAAATATCTTCTTCGGGTCCCTGTTATAGGCCCAGACATTCTATTTGTAAATCTCTAAAGGTAAAATCTGTTTCGCATCCGACACAGAAGGCGTTCTGATCTCCCTGCCTGCATGGGGCACTTAAGGGTCAGAGACTAGGTCTTTTTGTGTAAGATAGCCTAGGTCAGGGAGGTATGACCCATGTGCAATCGAGTCAATACTAGAGCTGGGCGAAGACTCGATTCCGGAACCGATTCCCACGATTAATGCTACGTATGAAAAGTTCCGACTCCTTTTTACGAAAACCAACTGTTACCAATTACTTTAATCATTGAAATCTTCTTCTTTCTTTTTTAGATTTATTTTTGAAAAATAAAAGTTTATGCTTCATAGTCTTCCGAAATCAAGGTTATCCTATATCCTGAAGATGTTCGGAGCCAATTAGGTAACCACTGGAAGAAATCCCATCATTAGAAAGTAAGTATTTGGGTTCGGAGTCGATTCCTACGATTCCTAGTTTTCAATAATGAGGAACCTGGCCGCCCAGCACTAGTCAATACAACTTCGTCTCTTCTGGAGTGGCCGGAAGGTTTTTTTTGTGGTCCCAGTTCGGGCACAACACTGCGGAATTTGGTTACATTTATACAGTTGTTCACCCCAGTGTTTCTCCCACAGATTGGAGTTTTAAAAAAGAAGCACGATACGGTCATAAGCGCAGAAGATTGTTACAAGAGAGTAACGAACATAAAAGAGAAGAAGGGAAGATAGATAAAGACGATATGTGTTTTAGCTTTAGTTATTGTTTTACGGCACTGGCAACACAATAAGGTCATATTATAAGTGCCGAAGATTGTAACAAGAGAAGAAGTGGAGATACATAGATAAAAACGACAGATGTTTGATAGGAAAGAAGAAGCAAACCACACCTACCGGAGTGGAGGTAGGTGTAGCTTTTAGCCTTATCTTCTTCT